TTTGTACTTAAAATATGAAAATACATCTTGCTGCACTTAAGAAAGACAACAATTCTGTGCACTTAAAATAAGAAACAAAATCAAATCTTGCTCGAATTAAGAAAAACACACTTATTCCATTGATAGATTATTTTACTTGTCAAGTTGAATCTACTCAGATAAAGTAAAATGTTCTTAATTTAAGTCATTTTAACTTACTTAGATATTGTTTTTTGCAGTGTACAAGCTTAAAGGTCATATATTACAAAATTGACTCTTAAGACATGATTGTTGTTACTGTCTCAAAAACATTGGAGTTGTGTTTTGTTTCATTCACACATGTTTGAGTTATCAGCTTTCACCTTTAGTTCAGTAGAAACTGGCAATTCCAAGTCTGAAATCATCCAAATGATTCTAGTGAAGGTGCATGCTGTCCAGTCAGATTTGTGTATTTCTGTGATGCATGTGAAATGAAGGAGATCACAGATAATAAGAGTTTGAACAAAATGAAAAATTTCTCACCACACATTTAGCGATTCACTCTTTGATTCTGCATAAATTATTTTTTTCAGCCGGTTTCACTTCGTTTGACCTCGCAGCATTAGGATTCGTTCACTCGAAGGTAGGCGTGTACTTTTTTTATTTAACCAATCGTTGCTATTTGGTCGTGATGTATGTAATGCGCCAAATCCCATAGGAAGAAGGGCAATAACGTCTTTCCCCTTGAGAAAATTCACCAAACATTCTCTTTGTTTCAGCTTTAAATCTTCGATCTAAGGAATTGTTGCCAACACAGAACAGTATGGCTTCGTCCACATCCATCTCGACCGCTTTGTTTACTGTTGTGCTGTACCACAAAAGGGACCCAGACAGGTGCTTGAGTTTAACGTCACGGCTTCGCTGCTTTTCGCTGACTGGCCGGTGCGCGGTCTACAACTTCCAGGGATCTTCCAAACCTTCTACTGTATTCCAATTCCTGACCTAGTTGCTGGAGAGAAATGAAATTGAGTGGAGGGACTAGTTGGCAACAGCCTGGCTATCCATGCATGTCCCTAATTGGGTAATATATGTGTCAGTAATGCCATCTGAACTCTGGGAGATTCAGCGCTGACCAGCACATCTTCCCAGGCAAATCGATGAACACAATATCATATCTTTTAAATGAGAAAGTCCTCCTCATGCCGAATATAACAGGAAACTGAAACCACTTAATAGGATACAGGGTAAACTATGGCAGTCTGAATATATTTATACTGCTTTGCCTTTGCTCTATTCCTCTCTCTACCTCGCTCAACAAACAGCCTTTTCTATCAGATCATATAATCACCATTGTTGCTATTTCTGCACTCGGGGCTGTACTCATGGCATGACTTGGACTGCACAATGAGCCTATGCAAACACTGCCCCTCCTAAAGCTCCTAAAGGTGAATTTCAACGTAGCAGAGATAATATTTGACGAACAGCGCTGGCCTGAAACTGCAACCCCGCGGGCCACCATTGAGTCAGGCTCAGCACTTTGCCTGCATCCATCCCACTCGCTTACACAACCAGAGGCCATGCTGAGCAGGGTGTGGGCTAGCGTACAGCAGCTATTAGCATGCTCCAGGGCTAGTGCTACTGTTAGAAGAGTCGGCAGAAAACAAGCAGGGGATGTGGGAGCTGAGGTTAGGAGAATTAAATGCATCAATAGAGGTTTTGGATGAGGCTGGTGGAGCAATGTGTAAAAGAGGACATGCTTTTTGGGCTATTTAGTGATAAACTATAACATATCGTACATAGATTTATTTTACATTTTGTTCATTGTAAACTGCAAAAATAATAATAATAATAATAATAATGATAATAATAATAATAGGAACTGGACCATTGAGTTCTTGTTTTATTTGTGCAAAAAAGTCTATGCAGCATATTTGAACTCCCTTTGGCATTTGTAAAACCTTATTATCAATCAAAATACATCTTTAAGTGAGTTAATGACAAGGGAGTTTTGTGTTTAGTATCTATTATTTTTCATTAAATTATGTCTCTTCCATTTAAACTGCAGATATTGTGCTATTTTCTTGTCAATGTTATGTTGTTTCCCCATTAAAAACATACCCAGAGTGGCGTTTTGTTTCATTCACACATGTTTAACAGACAAACCCTGCATATTTAGGAGTACTTCTCTCAAATAGAAAGCACTTGGTTCCACCTTGTAATGTCATGTGGTAATACAGGAAGTGCTCTACTGTATTTTTAAACTCATATGCATTCACTAAAACCATCTGGATCACTTTAGTCCTAGAATCTCTAATTGAACAAAAGCTAAAAAGTAGCTGTTAAGTTGAAAATAACCACTTCATGACACCACAAGATGGAACAGAGTATTTTGAGCTTTAGAGATGTAGACAGATTAATAGGGAAGGATGACTCAAGCAGGTGTGCCTGAAACAAAATGTGATGAGGTAACAGCATTCGAACACAGCTTAAAGCTCATGAGTCAATTTAGTGCAATACGGGACCTTTAATTAATTTTCCACAGTATGACATTTAACACATCCCTTTGTACTAGAAAACACAATGGTGTCACATCCGAGGTGGCAGCCATTTTGGTAGGCAAAAAGCGTCTGTATCAATAAGTCAACATCAACAGTCCACATCAACATCGTCAAGAGTTATCGGCGGGTTTTCAAAGTAATGTTTTTGATTCTCAACGTTCAGTGACTCAGAGTAAGATGAAGATGAAGTCATGTCAAAACTATTAAATGCAAAACCTACTTCAAAATAAGAGGAGGTATCTCATGACAGACATATGCAACCTCAACTGTCAACACAAAGGAGCGGCCTGACTGACTTTTTGCCTACCAGCCAAAGAACATATGCGGAAAAGCCGGATATAAACAAAAACAACGATTGCTTATATATCTCCCTTTGGACAAGCAGATGTTGCCACCAGACCAAGGTACAGGTCAGATCAGTGGATAGGCATGTTTTTCCCAAGGTATTTTAAGGCAATTAAATACCTGTGACTGAATAAATGTAATGCCATACTGTGGAACACTCCATGCAATACAACATCTCTATAGAGACAAACAGATTCTGAAACTCCCACAAAAAAGTTGCATAGTGCACCTTTAAAACATTCAAATGATGATTTAAACACAACATGTGAACCTTTATAATCACTTACAAGTACAATGTAAGTCTTTATTTACAAGAAAAGACAGCAGTATCTTTGTCATCTGACTTTCTCACTAACACCTTTTGTTCCAGTGTTATGTGTGCTAACAGTAGTATTTTCCTTGGATATAGATACAGCAGAAGCAACAAGTTTTGGCTGCGATGGCGGACAAATTATCCCGATGGGTTGCAGATGTGGGCCCAATGACATCATCAGGGTGTAAAGGAGAGAGAGGGGGGTCCAGTGGAAAATGAAGCATGCACTGTGGAATTCTGGGAAAGTGATCAGAGCAAATGTGTAAAAGGCTCCACTGATCACAAAGTTTACTTGCAGACAACAATGAAGCCCATTAATGCTAGTGTGGGACTGGTACAAAGTGTGTTTGACCTTTAATTCAGCATCGTGAATTGATTCTATGGTTTTCCTTTAACCGATTTATCAAATGTAAATGTAAAAAAGATTTCTAGTTTGATAGCCAAGTTTGTGGCACATTGGCATTCAGTAGTTTGCATTGATAAATTACACTATGTGACTTTTCTGAGAGAGAGAGTCCAACCACCTGCTTGTCTCCATGGAGATGTTATTGCTTTGCCTCTAATTTTCCACAGCATCAGGTGCTCTTATTCCTTTAAAACAATCTCCACAGATCTCACCTGTGACTTGGCCTGGTGGCGTCACCTGCTTGCATCCATGGAGATAAATATGTTTAGAGTGACAAACTGAAAAGTTTTTGGCTTATGCTTGCAACCTTATGACTGCAATTTTATGTGTGTGAAACTTGTTTAACGGCATAAATCAGCTCATCTGTTTCAGATTGTCTTGAAATAAAACTCAGATTAAGTCTAACTTGAATAACAGAGCTTTTAACAGAGCAGTGCTTTCAGTTAGCTTCATGCCCCCAGGATATGTTTGACATTTCCACATATAAAAAAGACACCAGAATATTTTCATCATATAAAAACTCTAGTATACTTTCAACGTGAAGTGATAATGGCACAATTAGAAAACTGCCAAACTGATCTTTACCTACCAGTCAAATTGAAATTAAATGCCTTTAATGTTACACTAGTGCACACTGCCCTTTCAGACCAGGCTCCCTCTTCTGTTTATCATTTCTGCTCCTACAATAAACATGGCTGCATTGATTTCTTGTCTCGTTCTAACAAATGACGCTGTCAACAGTAGGGGGCGAATATGAGCCTTATAGTCTGTCTCACTTAGTTTGTCAGAATCCACACCGACACGGTACCAAAACTCCAAAATATAACTCCTTTCGCTGTGTAGTTTTTATTTAGAACGCGTGTTACGTTTGCTGTGTGCGTGGAGGAACGATGCGAAAGAAGGCGCTTTAGAAGTGTCTCAATCTTGCTGAAATCATGCATGGTTGAACATTTGAAATGAGCTCGCGCACCAGCCTGGGGCACTGATTCCGGCTTGATTGGGGCAAGGCGAGCTGCAAGTGCTTATTTATACAACTACGTCATTTGGAGGTTGTCCAAAGGGAACTGAGCAGATTACAAAGCGGACAAGAAGAAAAAAAATAAAGAGAGCGAGTTCAATAATAGTGAGATTCATTAACGAGATTCCATAGATTTTTCATTTGATTAATCAACAAGTACATTTTGCGCCTTTACGCACGTGTGAAGACCGGTTTTGGGGAGATTTGGAAACAACAAAGAAAGAGCGCGTAATAAAAAAGCACATATCAAAGCAGTCCCAACCAACAATCTATATAATTATCATCATCTGCTGCCTTTCCTCTCTGGCAAAGAAACACTCCATCCATTTGTAGCGATGCCCCGGGGGAACATTACATCAAAACTAATCATAACGATTAGATCTGCTCGTGAGGGAGGCAAGTTGGAGGCAGAGGGAAAGGAAGAGAAAATACAAGGTTTCATTCTGATATTATAAAAAGTATAAATTCTTACACTGCTGTTATACTGTTAGGTGTCGTGTAGCTCGGGAGGTTTTTTTTTATACTCCACTTTGGTTAGACTGGGGCAGAGAGAGACATGAGCTAATTGTATCCTGATCTTGCCTTGAGGGGTTTCGAGAGCCCCGGAGCCAGTATTCTCTGTATTTTGTTCTGTCTACCCAAGCCGAGCTATTGCGTTTCTCAGCGCTGTAAGGGAGACCGAAGAAGAAACCGCTCGTGGGGGGACTAAACCGGAGAGCGAAAAGGTGGTCAAAAAAGATCGACTTTATGCAGCCCTATGTTCCAGGTAAGTGCGAGGATTTCTTCGCTTTGCTCGTGTTTCCTCCCAACAGCAGCAGCAGTAGTAGTTGGGGTAGCAGGCAGCAACACGGACTGGGACATTCGAAGGCGCAGTAGCTTTTACGCATGTGCCAGAAAAGCGATTCGAGCGGTTCAGTTCTTTTACAAAATGTTTAACCACTTCCTGGCTATTGTCGCTATAAGTACGATTGTGGGAGAGTGTTCATAAAGCAACTGACTTGTGTCGTGTGATATTTCGGAGAGGTGGATGACAACGGCACTACACTTTCTGCCCGCTGCAATTGGCTTCTGGCGCGTTTAGCCTTGTACCAGCTCGTGCCCGCGACGCAGAGCTCAGTAACTTGTACCAAACTTACACAAACCGTATATATGCGCCTCTCTTCGCATAATACTAAGTTGGTGTAGTCGTGAAACTGTTCGCTTTTCAGGCTGCCCCAGATCCTCTAATGAAAGACGCCATTGTGGAGTAATTTTGCTCCAGGCGATTTGGCTTTTTCTGTAAAAACAGGATGTACCTTCGGCTTTACGCACGCAATATATGAATCACCACAGCATGCAAACTTAATCTTATGTATAATTATTGAATCTATGCTTGATATAATAACGTTATTGTGTAGATGGAGAGGGACATTCGTGGATGGAGCGTGCGTAAAAACTCCTGAGGTTATCTGAACACGTAGGAGGGAGTAGTCTATTCAGGGCACAATTATGTTTTGTGTTTAATATTTTAAATACATTGTCATTAAATGAACTGCTGTCATAATTGATACTTTAGATTGCATGTTGCCTCGAGGTCTTTTGTTATGTCAGTTATATATTTTATACGATTTTTTAAAAGTTTTGTGTAAGTAAAAATTAGATTATTTATGATTTAAATTTAGCCTACATTTGGAAAAGTAAGCGCGTGGTATAAATTTACAACAACACTCTTTTCACATGCCTTTACAGCAAATAGTGTCTACTTCAGTTTTTGACACATGGAATTCCCGAAGTGGTCACTTGATGGCGCTGGAGTCACAACTCTTACTTTGACTGTGCTGTTGAACTTGTGCAGAAGTTCGCAGAGTTTAGGCCACGTTTGAGAGCGCGTGTACAGGGTTGCTCGTTATTGCACGTTATGGCTAGCAGTGAATCCATAGGGAGGGCTTGTGTTATTGTTTTTCATCAGAGGCCTGCCACTCCTGCGCCCTGGGACACTGCGCCGCGCTTGGAGTGAACATGCACTGTTACCAAGCGCCTCCGGCAACATGGGACTCGGCACACTTCCTGGTCCGTGATGTCAGACTGCATAGCGTGGCGTTGTATGAAATTTTACTTTACTCAGTAGTATCAGTGAACTATAGGTTTTAACTGTACAAATGAGCTACTTAGAATCCACTATTTGCATTTCATAAAAGAAAACCTATGACAAAACATGAAAGAGATACCCCTAATTAGTTATTGTATAGCTATTTTCACAACTGCAAATAGATGTAACCTTCCCTGTCTCTAAAAGCAGAAAAGCAAAACACACTCAGCTCTGTACTGAATTAAACATAAAAGTGATTTTTAAATTAAAGATACACTACAACAGTATTTAAACTAAACAAGTACCCAAAGTAGACCTAGCAGACAAGTTTACTGCCTATATATTACTTCTACTTTTACTATAGGTCAACTGTAAACCTAAATGGATAAAATTGACCTTGCCAAAATCTTAAAGGATTGTGTTCACACTTCCTGGTTTGAGCCATGTTTTGTCCTGATGTAAACCTGCTTTTGTCCTCTTTTAGTCCTGATTTAGTCCAGGTTTAGTTTAACATTTAGTTCCAATTTTGCGCTCTAATGTACCCTGAGACACCAGTGAAATCCACGCAATGTCAATAACATATTTAGTACAAAAGTTTATTGATAGTAATTCCTTGCTACTACTTTTACTACTACTACTACTACTACTACTACTACTACTACTACTACTACTTTCCAATATCATGAAGTCGAATCTTGGACAAAAATCTGAACCAAAAAGTATATTAGTTTGCAGTGGCATATAGTTTAATACTTACTTTCACAGCAAAAATATATTCTAGCTGCAGTTTTGGGAAGTAATTAAATATTCCAAATATATTTATTCAGAACTATGAAAGAGTAACTGTGTTCCAGTTCCAGGTACTTTTTCATTTGGTGGTTTTCATAATTCATTTAGGAAAATAGTTTAGTGATTCAATTTGAAGTTTAAGCTTTAATATTGTTGGTGATATAATAAAAACACAGCTGTCATCATGTCAAAGTATTCTAAGTATTCAGAATTTAGTGAATTCAGAATTATGTGCTCTGATTGGACCATATAACAGAATACGTGACAGAATGTATTTTACTACTGGTATTCAGTATTGTGTAACTTAATACATTTTCAAAGAATTATTTTTAACATCATGTATCCATCCAATCAAATAACCACCTCATCTTTGAATCATTGTGATCTCAGCTCTGTAACCACATGCTATTTTGGTAAAATCGTCATATCATGATCTCTGCTTTATTGTTTAATGCAGCGCTATGGTTGAACACACTTTCGACCATCCACTCATCTTATTGATCAGCCTCCATCGTGCTCTGAGTGAGTAACAACTGGATACAACCAACCACAGTGAACTTTCAGAAACTAGCTTTAGTTTTTTCTTCAAGGACCCATATTACGCTATTTTCTGATCTATGTTGTAATGTTGTTTCTTCATCAAACCTACCTGGAGTTGTGTTATGTTTCATTCACACATGTTTAACACACAAACCCTGCATATTTAGACTGAATTCTTCGCTCAAATAGAAAACACTCTGTTCCACCTTGTGATGTCTTAAAATTATACGGGAAGTGCTCCACTGTGCTTTTAAACTCCATACACCTTCACTAGAATCATTTGGATAATTTCAGATGTGAAATTGCCCATCTCTATTGAACAAAAGGTAAAAGGTAGCTGTTCACTTAAACACTACCGCTTCGTGACATCACAAGTTGTAACAGAGTATTTTGAGCTTTGGTGATGTAGACAGACTAATAATAAGAGGTTGCTCAAACATGAATGAAACAAAACACAACTCCACTCACAAGAATCCATTTGGCGTAACATAGGCCCTTTAAAGACTGTATAAAAGACACCAAGAAAACATGAACTGTAATTAAATTGAAATCATGATGTGGCTTTAAGAAAATCGTGATATACACCTAACACAAAGTCTACCACTCATCCCTCACTACTCCCACCGGAGTCTACCTCACCTACACGTGTTGCTATTCCCCAGCCCAGACAGTGTACTTAGCCACAGCGAGCTCCTGTCTGTCTGTGTGTGGACATTTGAAACAAATGTCCAGGGGCAAGAAAGCAGAGACAACCCATCCAGATTATGTAAATACCAGTCTGCCTGCCTCCGACCGAATCTTAATGCTCTGATCTGAAATGCTAATTGTTTCTTTCTGCAATATGTGGAAATACAGGCAGACTGTGTTGTATAAGTAAACATTTCAAAGTTTGTGTTGACATTATGTGAATCTGAAAATTTGATGTTTGTGTTCAAGAATTGGAGGGGTTCTCAAAATCTGGTATGGTAACACTTGTGGTATAGTTTCTGTTGGAGTACTTGAACATTGCTGTTTAAGGCCTGGTTCTAGTTAGAGTAGGCATTCCACAATATCAGATTTCACTGTTTCGATTGTGAGAAGAACCATCACCATTGCAGCTATTTGTGGTTATTGACCAAACAATAGTGAAATCCTTAATTCTTTTATTACCTTATCTTACCTCTATTATTAATTAACCCATTGGGTTAATATAGCGCCTTTCAAGATACCCAAAGCATTTTACAGTACATTATTCATTCATTCCACTCTTGGTGGTGGTAAGCTGGTGCGTAGCCACAGCTGCCGCAGTAGTAGCTTACAACCATCAACTCACTCACACATACCACATTTATACCAGGCAAAGTGGGTGAAGTGCCTTGCCTAAAGACACAAAGACAGTTTTTGCCACTGGCGCCCCACTGTGACACCTGGTACTCCCAGTGGTCTCCCATTCAAGTACTAACAAGGCCCAGTCCTGCTTAGCTTCTGAGATCCAACAAGATCAGGCTTTGACAAGCTGGTATGACCTTTCTATTCTATCTATTATGTGACCTGCTTTATCAAATTAAACTTTATGAATGTGACATAAAGGACAGGTAAGAATGTAAATTATGTTATGATTATATTGTGACATGTAATCTTGGTTTTTCCCAAATAAGTATTGGTTTTTGATCTCTTAGTCATGTTTTTATGTCTGATTTAGTCTGATTAGTTAGCCTAGTTTAGCCCTCTTTACTCTTGGTTTACTCTTTTAAGCTCAAATAGACCAAGTCAAATGTAGCCAGCATTTGACTTGGTCCAGTTCTGTATAGTCCAAGAATAGTCCTTTAAAGCCATTTTTAGTCAGTGCTCGTGTTTATTGAATAGTCATAGTGATAAATTGTGTTTGGATATATTGTTTTTTAATTTTTCTCTCATTGGCTGTTCAAAATCATAATCTTTCTTCGTATGGGCCCTAAGCAAAGTACTGGTACCAAATGTTAACCTTTTCTCCAGATCTCCAGAGTTCTTGAAATCTCGTGCCAAATGATTCTTGATGCAGTCAGTCTGTTTTCGATTTGTTTGTGCATATTGTGGTGCAGAAAGTATACAAATGGAGCAGACGCACGCTCACATTTCGCTAAATATGAAAAGTTAAACATTCGCAGGCCGCAGAGGTTACAAACATGAGGGGACATTCGGTACTTTCCACAAGTCAAAAGTCAAATTAAAGATGACAAAATTGCATGTTGGCTGGAGTCTGAAACATAATTGGCTAAAATTACGAAATACTACATATATGTTCCTATATTCTAACACTGAAGCCTTTCATATTAAATGTATATTTGTATGGTAGTAGTGTGTGGAGGCAGTAGTTTAGTAGAAGGTGAAGCATTTGTCTAGGAACTGGA